GTGATCTGGAAGTCTGGTTTTGAGACTTATTTATGTGTTTTCTCATTTCAACTGGGGCAGGGGGCTGTTAGCGCCTGTACAGATTACCTCCTCTGAGCTGGGTGAGGTGGGACAGGGCCGGGAGCAGCGTTAGGGATGGTGACCCAAAGCCCTTTCCTGTGGGCTGGGAGCAGTGGGAGGGATGGTGGCCTGGAAGCCCCTTCCTCTGGACCAGGAGCAGTGGGATGGTGTCTCAGAACCCCCTCCGTCTGGGCCGGGAGCGGTGGGAAGGATGGTGGCGTGGAAGCCCCTTCGTCTGGGCCAGGAGCAGCGGGACAGAAGGTGGCCCAAATGCCCTTTCCTCTGAGCTGGGAGCAGCAGGAGGGATGGTGACTGGGAAGACCCTTCCTCTGGACCAGGAGCAGTGGGATGGTGGCTCAGAAGCCCCTACCTCTGGGCCGGGAACAGCGGGACTCAGTACCTTGGCCTAGTGGTCTGGTGTCCTCTGCATCTTTGTAGTGTGGGACCAGGTGGCTGCTTGTCTGCATCGGGGTGATTCGGTGTCTTCCGCGCGACTCAGGACCACGGTAGGGCATGCACAACCTGCCTGTGTGCAGCGGGCTGATTTGGCCGATTCCCTGGTCTTTTAATACCTTTATCCTTTGAAGTCAGGCTGGTGACATACTCCTCTTCAGTGTGGCTACTGTTATTAGCAATGACGGACTGGTCACCACCCTTGCAAATGTCCTGAACACTGCACATGCGGAGCCACACCCAAGAACAGCCACTGTCACGGTGTTTCCTAGTCAGTGCCTACACTGTTGTTCAGAGGGACAGCAAAAGGCTGATGATCTCCACCATGATTCCTTCTGTGGTTTCTTAGTTTTCTCTGAAGAACTTTGCTTCATTGACTGTCTGGTTACCCTGCAATACAGCATCTATAAAAAGACCAGGTAGCTTTTTGAGTCTTTTCTTTCAGCCATCACTTCTGAAAAGAATCCTTAGCGTCTCGGCAGTGACATTCGTATCCGTTTCCATAGAGGGTTGTGCCCTGTTTTGTCGTGGATGGGTCTTCAAGCTGGTTCCTGCGACATTTGGGAGCTTTCCTGCTGTCAGGTCTGAGACGTTCTGGGCTGATGTTCCGCGTTTCCTTCTCTGAATCTGATTATTTGTAGCTGGAAATAGTTTTTAGAGACCACAATTTGCTTTTCAGTGGTGCACACTGCTGCTGAGTTTTGGGTCCTTCTCCTTTTCCTTGTTCTCCTTCCTCTTCCATTTCTACTTCCCTTTTTCCTCTTTCTCCCCTTCTGCCTCCCTCCTCCCCTTTTCTTCCTCCTCTTTTTTCTGCTCTCTCTCTCTCTTTTCTCTCTCTCTGTCTGGCCTTCATAATGAGTTAAGTCCCCTGCTCCTTTTTCATTTTTATTTTGAGGCAAGGTCTCCCTAAGTCACTAAATTGTCCAGGTTGAGCTCAAACTTGCAGTCCTCCTGCCTCAGCCTCCGAGAGTGCTGGGATTACAGGGATGCACCACCATCCCAGCTAATACTTTGAAGCCTTTTCAATAACAGAACTGGGATGTATATATTTTGTGAAATAGAAAAATAAATCATGAGCTCAGATTGATATTTTTATTCCAACTATGTTTTAGGTAACCTTAAAATTTTATATTGACAGCTCTTTTCTCTAACGTAGAAAATCTTGGTTCCTAATGACATTACATGAATTTCTTATTTATGGTTTCTCTGTAACCTGAGGGTGTGTCTCACTTGGAAAGTACCATCAAAGTATTATATTTTAAAGTAACTTAAAAAATTCTTCTCTCTGTAGATAAGTTGACTACTAAAATAACTGTGTTTGCATGTTTTTGTTTATTTTCTATTTTTAGGACTTGCTTTACTTTTTTCTCTTGATGTGTTTTTTAAATTTGTAAAATCCTAATTTGTTTATTTTTGCTATTATAGATAGATTATCTTCATCTCTTATTTATTTTAACTCAGAATTGTTTCAATTAAGTCCTGCGCGTTACTCTTATGTCACACAGCTTTGTTAAACTCTGGCTACTTGTAGCAGGTTTTTCATGGATTGCTTTGGGGTTTCCAGATGTATAATCACATTATTTATAAGGACATAGTTTTGTTTCTCTAATTGCTTAGCCATTGTGTTGGTTAATGCCTGTTGATAGCAGTGATAATGCAGTGTTGATAGCAGAGATAAAGGACATTTCTCTCTCTCTTTTTTTTCTGATTTTAGCCCTAAAATCTCTAGTGTCTCCTCAAAAGTACAAGACCAAGCTGACTTTCGAGCTGACATGGAGATATGTGTCTTTATGGTAAGGAAATAGCCATCATTTCTTGTTTTATTATAGTTTTCAACTTTAATTGCTTGAGGCCACTTGCTTGATTTGCAGTTTGTTGAGCCAGGGATGTTGGGATGTTTTACTTACGCAAAGCTGAGCCAGGATGTGGAGGGACATCAGTGCCCTTGAGAAGTGGCCCTTGAAGAAGAATGGCAGCCAGGTGCTTTGGAGGATCTAGTTCCGGTTTCCAGACTTGGGCTTAGAATTGCCTCTGCCTTGGTACAGGTTTTATTTTTGTGCTATCTAATTGGTTTTGAGGGCTGGGGATTTAGCTCAGTGGTTTCATCACCTGCTGTGCAAGCACAAGGACCCAAGTTCGATCTCCAGTACCAAAAAAAAGCAAAGGAAGAGAGACTGTAACTAATTGGTTTTGAACAGAGATCAGGAGAGAGCAAAGTTTCATGTTTGCGTCATGCCTGGGGCCTCTGCATGTGCTTTGCAGTTTTAGGACCTCAGTGGGCATTTCCTGTGTGTTAGAGCACCAGTTGTGGTGGTTTTCAAAGATGTTTTATTTATGCTTTTGAATACATACTCGAGTCTTAGTATTAAAATATTTCAAGTGACAGTGAGTCATCACCCCTGCAGAGGCAGGTGGCACAGAGAAGTGAGGAGCAGAGCAGTCCCTTCTTCCACAACTATCTTGCACACACAGCAGCTGCAGGGTGCATGCGTGCCAGGACAGGTGGCATCTGGCTTTGGGGCTGGCAGGGGCTCATGCTGTCTGACTCGGTGCTCTCTGCAAGTCCACACTAATCATGACACAGTGCAACCCACACCATGAGGTGTCTTGTCCAAAAGACAGCTTCAAAGCAGAATTGTATTCCATTGTAATAAAACATGAATTTTCCTGTGGGCTGACTATGATAACACATCTGTGGAGAGTTCTAGAGAAAAGACCCACAGGCAAAGCCATTGTCAAACATCACAGTGGATCCAATGACGATTATACTGTCACTTCCCGATGGAGGTTCTTCAAGCAACTAAAAATAGAGCTACCATTTGATCTAGCTATACCTGAAGGGATTAAAGCCAGCCTTCCTTAGGGACACCTGTAATCACATGTTTACTATGGCACAATTCATGATAGTCAAGATATGGAGCCAGCCTGGGTGACCATCAATGGGTGAATGAAGACTATGCGCTGTGGATGCACAATGGAGTATTACCCAGCCATAAAGAAGATTGAGGTGTTGTCATCTGTAGGAAAATGGGAGGATCTGGAGACCATCGCATTGAACACAATAAGCCAGACTCAGAAACATAAATATTGCGTGTCCTCTCCAGTGCACAGAATCTGCAGAAGATTACATGAAAGTAAAAGGGAGACTCTTATTAGAGAAGGGAAAAGGAATAAGACAGAAGGAGGGGTGTAGGGGAGGCTAATGAGGGAATGGCTATGATTAAAATACCCAAGTAATATACTCAATGTTTTGTAAAATGAATTGGCACTAATAATAAAAAGAAAAACTTAAATGATAACGTGGCCCCCAGCAGTCATAACGACTAGCAGGGACAGCAGTACACCGAATACTCTCACTTGAAGCCTGGGGTCATCCGAACAGAGGAGACATTTCTTGGTGGACATCTGAACTTGGTCTCCCAGTGTCCGTCCATCGGAAGACAGTGTCTTGGGCTTCCCAGACACTAACCTGAGCCAAGCCGTCCACCCCGAAAGGATGAGTCGTTTACACCTTAAACAGTGCAGGCCCAGCGCCGTTCATAAACAGTGGATTTCAGTCGCAGTGATGGGGACTTTAGATGCCCCAGAGGGACCACAGCCATGCAGGACATCCTCCTGCTGGACGCTCGCCTACTAGGTGCCCAAGGGAGGAATAATGCTGGCTGGCACGCATAGCACTTGCTCCATGTCTAGCACTTCACACACCCTCAGCAGGTGCTGTGATAAAATTCAGGCCCCTTCTACAGATGCATGTACTGAAGCACAGAGAAGGTGAGTAAGTTGCTCAAGATCACACAGCCTTGTAAGCGGCAGAGCCACAAGGTACGATTTGGTTAATCATGTTCTTTGCGAACCCCTGCAGGGATCTCCGTATATCATGGGCTGGTAAAATGATGGTGTGCGTGGAGGGCAGGCTCCAGGTAGCTCTGCTCTTTGTGTAGACTCCCACTGGTCTCTGCCCTAAAACTCTGGGTAGGGCTCAAGGGACATTGTAGGTGGTGAAGGAAGTAGGTGGGCACCTACTAGGACAGAAGACCAAAGAGGACACTAATGTGTGCCTGGGATCAGCCTGCAGCTCTGCGCCAAGATGTGGGCTCAGAACCCAGCTCTTGGCTGACCACTGAGGGGATAGAAAGAGAGGCAATTGGCAAATGGACTTGGAGGACACAACTGGGAAATCAACTGTCCTTAGGACGCTTGGCAGGAAGTGAGGTAACCAGTTAATTTGAAGACAAAGAGCCACTTCTTGCATGAGAATTTACTGTGGGGCCCTAGATTCATAAGGCTGTGGGAGACTCAGGACTTTCTTGTGTTTTGTTTCAGCACAGGGGATTAAACCCAGGGACTTTGCACTGAGCTGCATCCTCAGCCCTTTTTTATTTTGAGACAGTCTCCCTGACTCACTAAGTTGGCCAGGCTGGACTTGAATTTGTAGTCTTCTTGCCTCCACCCCAGAGCGCAGGGGTGACAGGCATGCACCATCACACCTGGCCAGGAGGCTCTTGTCTTTGTGAAGGTTCTAGTTGACCAGGGGAGGTGCAGGTCCACCTCCTACCCAGATGCCAACACTGGGCTCCTTGGTAGTTGGCCATGGCGGTGGGTCCCAGCTTGGGAGGGGCAGCCTGGGCTCCCAAGTTCTGGCTGTGGCACCCGTGGTTGGGACAGCATCGGGCTGGAGGAGCCAGCTGCAGTTTTGGCTTTCTGGCTCTGTGTGTCTCTGGCACAGTCACTCTGGTCACAGTGAAAGGTGCCAGGGGCCAGCTGAGTGGCAGGAGAGCTGCTCTGGGGAGCTGTCACCTCCAGGGCCACGTTCCTTGGAGCAAGTTCCAAGTAATTAAGTGGATTGGGTTCTGAGCCCTGTGCTGGGAGCATGGCCGCCCTTGCAGAGAGCGCCTGGTTGCTCCTGGGGCTGGTGAGGCAGCTCAGAGGGCATCGGTGCCCGGCTCCAGTGTCCACTGTGCCCAGGGACCTGCAAAGGACGAGGCGCCGCACAGTCAGGCTCTCACCCAGGAAGCTCGTTACTCTCTTTGGAAATCTGCATTTGCCACTGATCACAGCTTTCATGGTGCTGGGATCGCCATGGCAACTAAAAGCATATCTGAAAATAAAATGTCACTTTAAAAAAAATTTCTACTGTAATGACACAGGAAACTTGTTCCTCCTGTTTAACTTATGAGATGATGAGAGGAGACAGAAAGCGCACACATGTGTGCAGCGTGTGTGGGGAGCCAGGCACCCAGTGAGTGTGAGTGTGAGTCACCGTGTGGGGAAGCGTGGTGCATGGGGCTGGGAACAGAGCGTGCAGTGGTGTGCAGCTGTGTGGGTGTGGCCTGGGGGGAGCCCTTGGTGTGTGCGTGTTGTGGGGAGGGCCTGAGCTTGACCCCGGTCACGTGTAGGCTGCAGGTGTCCTGAGCGGGGTCTGAAGAGCTGTGGTGGGTGTCTGAGGGCCAGTGTTGGTATATGTGTGTGTGTGTATGTGTGTGTGTGTGGTCATGCTCACATTGTTTGGAAAGACATGGCTGTGGCTTTGAGAAGCCTTCTGTCTATGGGGTGATCCTGTGGTCCCAGCCCTCTGAAGTTCCACCCAATCACAGGGGATACATCCTTCCTCTGGGATTGGCTCTGCCCCTCCCACATTCCTCAGGGAACCAGAGACTTTACAGGTCAGACCACAGTAGTGTCCCCAGACCCACTGGGCCTTGGGGCTTTCTGGTCAAGGTGAAGTTTCAAAGGACTCAGCCTGTGTACCTGGCTATCTTTCACGAATCCCAGTAGGGACTCATATTACACACAGGACTTTGGGCTGCACCTGTCTCAATGGATGCAGATGGGGCTGACATCCATGGGTGTTATGTATACAGGTTCACAAGAGTAAGTTAACACTATAATGTCTGCACACAGCTCTTCAAGTCTTCAGCTTCCCAAGGTCACTTTCAAGGCCTCATGCATCCCCTAGCGGCTGGCTTCTACAAGGAACAGGTCCCAGGGTGGACACACACACTTGTTGGAATCCAAAGGCTGGAAGGAGTGCAGGAGAAAGCTTTTGCAGAAGCAAAATTCAGGCCCAGGCAGTGGGAAGTGGAAACTTACTTTCCTGTGGCTGTGAGAGGCCACTGTCCCCTGTCGTATGCAGAGGTCCCCAGGGCCCGGTTTTCTCAGATGAGGACCCGGTCCGTGGTGACCTGGGGTCCTTTTGTCTCATTTACATTCTCCATTACACTCTTTGAACTTCACATGTCTAGAGATTCTTTCTTTTATCGTCATCATTATTATTTTTAACTTCAGTATGGAATCCAAGAGAATTAATGTTGATTTCAATATAATAATATTAAATTCAATATTTATTGAGCACTTGGGCTTAAATGCCACAGTGGGCATCTGAATTACCCTCTGCCTAGAGTTTTTCTCAATGCAGTACCGGGAGGGGGGGAACAGACTGGGGACAGACAGTAGGACGAGCAGGCACGGATGAGGGAAGCCTTGTCACATCCAAAGGAGAGGCCCAGTCAAGGGTGGCATTTCAGAGGAGGTGACAGCTTGGCTGTCATGAGAGACAACTAGAAATCAACAGATACCAGGGAGAGAGCAGAAGTCACCACATGGTGACATCAAGTGGATGCAGAGACTCCGCGAGTGGGGTCTGAATGGGAGCTGGGAGTGGGATGCTATTCTGGGATGTTCCTTGTGTTGCTTAAGGAAGTTGGGGTGACATTGCCCTGGGTTTATTTGATTACGTTTTTGTTAGTATATGTTTGTGATGCGTAATAAATACACCACATCCTGATCCTTTCTACTTCCCCTTCCTCTCCCCTCTTTCCCATCTCCCTCCATTCCCCTTCTCATCTCCTCAAAGTCTACCTCCTGGTTCCCTATCATCTAGCTTTTACCTTGCTTTTTCAATTATTTATATTTTTGGCTCCTTATATAAGAAAAACCATGCCATGTTTAACCTGTGTCTGGTTTGGTTTGCATAGTATTATGATCTCAAGGTCATCCATTTCCTACAAATGACTCAAATCTATCCTTCTTTATGGCAGAGTAGTATCCCATTGTGTGTAGACACCGCACTTTCTTTATCCATTCATCTGTTGATGGACATACAGGCTGCCTCCAAGACTTAGCTGTTAAGAATTGTGCTGCTATAAACATGGGTATGCATGAATCACTGTGATATGACTTTAACTCTTTCTAGAAGATATGCAGAAGAGGAGTGGCTGGGTCAAATGGAATTCCTAGTTTTAGTTTTCTGAGGACTCTCCACACTGATTTCCACAGCGGTTGTACCAGTTTACACACCCACCAATGGTGTAGAGGGTTTCTGTTTCCCCACATCCTCTCAGCATTGGTTGTTTCTTGGGTTTGCCCTGGGGTTATGAGTGTGTGACAGGCTCAGGGGCCTTGGTGACAGTCTTCCCCATCCGTAGCTATTTCCAGCTCTGTGTCTGTGACTCTCTTGACGGCAATGGCAAGAGACAAATTCTGCTGGTGCAGTGCTGGGCTTTCTTCAAGTTGGCAGGTGCTGTAGCTCTCTCCATATTGCTTCAACTCCAGCAAACCCAAGGGGCAGTGAGTGGAAAAGTACCTGTGAAGATTAAGGTAGGTTCCAAAGGCACAGTATCAGTCTGCTGTGCGACACCCTCTGGTGACGTTGAGGCCTTATTAATAACTAAACATCTGTCACAATTCTCATTGTGTTTCTCCTGCCAGGGTTGAGTCTCTCCCATTGGCCGTGTAAACACGGGCAGGCGGATGTGAATTATTTAGGGTTTGGCTTTGAGTATTAATCACCCAGCGCTGTTTCTAGTAAGTTTCTGTCCCCTCTTTGCAGAGGCTGAGTCTTCGAGGACAGTCCTTTGATGAGCTCCCAAATCTCTCTGAGAACATCACCCTGGACCCCCGATGCGGCTGCCTGAGCAACCTGGAGAGGGGAGACCTGAGAATGAGAAAAAGGGGAATGGAGGAGCCCCCAAAGGGGGAGAGGAGCCACTGCCGAGAAGCCAGACCCCCAACTTTCCCACCTGGCAAGTCTCCCCCCAAACCCCAGGACCTAGGTTGTTTTGCAGCCCTCAGGTAGGGGGTGGTGTGGGGTCTGGGAGCCTGTGTCACTCAGTGTCCAGGGCAGAGGGGAATGTGTGGAAATGACAGGGAGGAGGGGTCCCAGAGGATGAGCTGCCGGTAGGGCACAGGGATTTTGTCACAATGGGGAGCTGACCGGTTTTCATGAATTTTCTATGAATGTGTGTGGGGAAGGGGTTGTGTTTGCAAACTGATTATGAGGAATGGAGCACTGGGGAGGGGCTGCTTGTTAGAGATAAGGACAGGTATCATTGGCAGAGTACACCATACAGCAGGGTAGAAATGGGACCTCTTCAGAGAACACTTCAGTTCATCCTCATCATAACCCCAGGAGGGTGTTGTCATCCCCAGTTTCTCAGGAGAAAAGTAAGACAAATGTCCAGCCTTTTGTCCCAGACTACCCAAAGGCAAACTCAGGAGTCCTACTCAAGTCTCTGAGCTTGCACCTTATATTGTCAACCACTGGGCTACGCTGCCTCTCCATGTATAGGGGAGAAGTTGGCTCAGGGTGAGGGGTTTATAGGCTACCAAGCCATGGGATTCCCTGGGTTTTTGATTTTACTCTGTCTCTTCTTTTCCCTCATGGATACATCCATGGCTGTAAAAGCCCAAGAAGAATTTCAAGTAGAGGTGGTTATGTATAGAAGGAAACATTGGTCTGTGTGATGCTGGCATCAAAAAATGGGTCTGTGGTGAGCCTCATGAATGGATATGTTCTGGAATCATCTCCCTAAGACTATTTGCAATGGAACCTCCTGCCCTGTCTGTCACCAGCTGACAGTGTTTATAGTGAGGGCATTAGGGTTAGGTTTATGGAAGGGAAAAAGGGAAGTGGAAATATTTCTGGTGACCACAGCTTCCAATTTTCAGCAATTCCTCACAAGAGTAGGTGGCTGGACTACAGGGCTCAAGTGCAGGATGCTGTGAGAATTTATCCAGAACTTTCTTCAGGACAACTCACTGTTTGGAGAGTCGAGAGTGGAACTGACCAGGCCTTTGGTCTGACCTGCAGGGAGAGCCTTTCTCAAGAACTCTGAGGAAAGCTCTGGAAGAGGGCAGCGTGAATCTGGAAGTGAAGAAAACAAGGGCGGGCTCAGAATTCAATATCACTTGAAAAAGTTGGCCAGGGGTCAGGGGACATCCTGGGAGAGGGTCCTCCATCCCAGTCCATCCTTTCCAGGAGAGGAGCCCCAGTGGGAGGCATGCCCAGTCCAAGGGTGAAATTTCAGGTGGCCTTTCCTCAGCCTGGGGTAGATGATAGCATGCTAGGCACTTCAACTGGGCAAGGGCCATGCTGAGGGGAGGAGGGAAGGACTAGGACAGAGAAGCATTTTCTCATGTCCTGTGGGGGCAGTGGCAAAGGCAAGTGAGACTGACAGCAGAGAGAAAAAGGACAAAAGAACAGTGTCCTCGTCAGTATGAAGATATTGCATAGCAAATAGATAAGGAAGACTGGTGGAATCAGAAAGATAGTCCCACATTGAAAACATCTCCCCATTAGAAATTCTTTGGCCATAAATTAGGCAAATTAATTTAACCTATCTCTGAGGGGCACCCATGGCCCAATAAGTCAGCTTCTCTCAAGACACCAGCTACTCCTTTGGAAGTGAGCATTAACTTTCTGGATCCCAGGACTGAAGGTTTCTAGGCCTTCTGGCTCATTCCCATCACATATTCATACACCACACACACACACACACACACACACACACACACACACCCCACACACCCTACACAATTAGTACACTTTTGATTATGTCTTTCTTGAAGGGCATAATTACATATTCCTCAAAGATTTCTTTGTGCAGCAGGTGGAAAGTGACAGTCAAAGAGAAAACCAATGAAGCGGGGCCATGGGAGGAAGTTCTGTGGTCAGTGTTTCAGCACCAAGAACTTGGGTGTGGAGGGGACAGGGAACAGAGCTCATGTCATAGTCACTTCCCAATCACTGAGACACAATACTCAACACCTGCAACTTAAAAAATGGAGATTTATTTTGGTTTATGTTTTTTAGAGATTTCAGTCTATGGTTGGCCAGCTTCAATGTAGGAAGGGCGGGATAGAAGGGTCTAGCGAAGGAGAGCTGCTCACATCATGGCAGCCAGGAAGCAGAGAGAGAAGGGAGGGGCTGGGGAGGGAGATGAACCCTTCCAGGTCACACCCCAGGGACCTGCCTCTTCTGTCTAGATCCCGATTCCTCACAGGACATTCTCCTCTAAACTCTTCAGTGGATGAACCCACCCATGATCCAGTCACCTTCCAAAATCCCAGCCTATGAACATAATGAGCTTTTTGGGGGGACATTCTAGATCTAAACCACAACAGCCCATCAGGAGTATTCTCACATTCTCAGCAGCAAAGTTTCTGACCATTCCTTACCTCCTGCCCTTCGGCTGTCTGTTTGAGTGTCTTTCAGATGTGGCACAGCCTGGTGTTGAAGTTAGCCTACAGGAGCACCAGGGGCCTCTCCATGAGCTGTCACTCAGACCAGCTACAGTGGCCTGATGGTCGTGCATGGTGTGGGAAGGGTAGACAGGATATAAAGCAGAGAAGAGCCTCTTCAACATGTCCTTGCTCCCTTCTCCAGAGCACTTTTCCATTTCCTGGTACCCTTTTGGTTCCACATGACAGAAGTCCAGTTCAGCTCATGAAAGTGAAAATAGAAACATGTTAAAGACTTCAGTGAGGATAGGAGGAGGGTGTCTCACGGAATCCAGGCCAGCAATGTAGCTGGTTCCCAGGGATGCATGGAACATACCTGAGTAGTCTAAAGGGATGTGGAAACCCCCAGAAAGCTACATCTCCCTGGATCCTCTGTCCATATGAAAATGATCATTGTTGAGTTGCTGCCCATTTGGTAGCCAGTCTCAATTGATGTATTACCCTGCCACCGAAAGTTGGGAAATCTCTTCCTCTGGCAAAATAATTCCATCAGAATTTAGGAATTCAATGTTCCCAGCCTTGTCAGATTCCTCCCAAACATCTCCATCTCAATTTACAGGAACCCAATCTTTTCTGATCAGTATATGTCTTAGTTACTTTTTTCTTGTTGCTGAGACAAAATACCCAACACTCAAAATTAGAGGAAGAAATATTTATTTACCTCACAGTTTGTAGAGGTTTCAGTCCATAATCAGCTGGCTCCTAGGCAGAGTGGCATGGCAGAGGAGAAACAGTTCATGGCAGGCAGAAGGCAGCAAAGCAGTGAAGTGGCAAGCGTCAAGTGATGGCAGCAGCCTTCTTTCTGTCCCTTATAGTCTGTCCAGGCTACCCAGCCTTGGGGCAGGTATCATTCACCCCCAGGGTGGGTGGGGCACCCTTAATCCTAGCATCACACCATTAGTTCCAGCATCATATCCTCAATCCCATTATCACACACCCTAGATCCTCTCACCTCCAAAAAGCCCCACCTTTGAGTGCATGAGGTTTTGGGGGAACATCAAGATACAAGCTGTAACAGTATCCTCACTTTAACTGCAGATGCTCTTCAAGGCTGAGCATTAAACTTGATCCGCTTCACTCCAACTCCTTGAGCTATTGCTTTATATTCTATTTTGAAAGGCAGTTGGCTATCCATTCAGTTGTTTTCTATTAAACCTGTAAATTGGAGTCTTTTACAAAGATGGTACCATGTAACCCCAAAACTGGTGAACCATCTCTGGTGGAACAAAAGCAGCAGGGTAGATAAAGCTGGCCAGGGGCACCAAAGTAGAGCGAGACCTCCTATAGAGGGCAGAAACTGAAAGTGGGACCCCATGCTCCCAACCTCCATCCTCCTAGTTCAGTCTCCTCCTACTTCTAAGCCTAAAGGATTGCAGAAGAACTCCCTAGAATGTCTGTTCCTGTCTTTGTGAGATGTGGCCAGGTTTTCTCTCCATGTATCTTGAGGAAACCACTCCAGATGGGGACCTCCATCTTTTCTCCTCCTTCTCATCCAAGGGAGCACAACAATGAAGAGCTGACTTGTGTCTAGGCTGTCTAGGCATTGGCTCCTGGGCCTGGGGCCCTGAAAGAATGTCCTTCCCTTTTTGTCCAGACTTTGGGATCTGGGGCTCTTTGGATCAGGTCTGGAGTTGACCATGGATGGTTGGTAGGGATGCTAGGGCTCCAAGAAGACAGTCTCCAGGGAAGAGAGCAATGCCCAGGTAGCTTCAACAAGGCCCAGCTAGGTAAACAACTCTACTATGATGGTGCTGCTGCAGCCCAGTCCAAAGGAAGCCTTTCTAATATGAGGAGAAATGGATATGCACTATTGATATATGAACTAAAAATAAGCCATGTTCCAAACAAAATGTTTTTTAGTATTTTGAAATGAAAACGTGTAGACAAAGCAAGGATTTAGAATGCATGACTCATTAAATTGCTGACTCTGAAAGGAATGAGAATTCAAAGGGAACTTTTCTCTCCCTACTTCTCCCTCCCACCCCTGCTCTGAATAGCTCATAAAAAGCATCTCTACATAAACAGGACCTATGAACTCCCTGTGACTTAAGACCCCACAGCCCTAAGTCTGAAGGAACTCAACTTTCAATGCCTGGCTACTAAGTTAGCCTCCCTTGCTAGATTAGAATCATCAACCAGAGTCCACTTCTGCAAGTCCACCCTCATTTCACCTCCTGTCCCTAATAGGAGTCCAGGGACTTCTCTGGCCCCATGCTGGCCACTGTTCCTTCTGTCCCCATTGCTTGGCTCTGCTGGACCTCAGGAACTCATAAGCCCTAAAAAAGACGTTGCATCCTGAGCGCTAAACTCCGGGAGGTGCATCTTAGGGGGAGTGCATACCATGCAGTACTGCAGCAGGATGCATACCAGTGCTGCTCGCTGTATGGTCTCAGGCACAGCCATGGCATGTAGTGGAAGGCTTGGGCCTGGACAGCAGTGATGTTCGGCTTTCCCTCCCTCCCTCAATCCCACCCTCCCAGACTCACCCAGAAATAATGCTGTGCCAACCACCTAGGCATCCCCCATTCTAGTCAAGTTGACATCTAAAACTC